TGTGCCCCCCTCCCTGCACAACTGCGCAGTAATGACGTCACACGGCCCCACAAAGCCCGCCCACTGGCGCCTCTGCCAGCCGGCCGCGCGCCACACCCACCACGAAGTTTTTGATGTCCATGTCGTAGAGACTCCTGGCGAGCAGTTCGCACGCCTCGCGCTGCGTCCAGCGGCCGGCCGACTGGACCAAGACCCAGCGCGCGTGGCGTCAACCGATCGTGCACCAGTGCGGTATCGTTCGGAGCTGGACTCGGACGGTTGGACGGAGTCTGTCTAATCGATGCGTCTGTGTCATCCGTGTGTGATCGTGCTCTAGATCGTGCTCCAGTTCGGAGCTGGACTCGGACGGTCGGACAGAGTCTATCTTATCAATACCACTGTGTCACGTGTGTGTTCGTGCTCCAGATCGTGCTCCAGTTCGGAGCTGGACTCGGATGGTCGGACGGAGTCTGTCTTATCAATACGTCTGTGTCATCCGTGTGTGTTCGTGCTCCAGATCGTGCTCCAGTGCGGTATCGCTCGGAGCTGGACTCGGACGGTCGGACGGAGTCTGTCTAATCAATACCACTGTGTCATCCTTGTGTGTTCGTGCTCCAGATCGTGCTCCAGTTCGGAGCTGGACTCGGACGGCCGGACGGAGTCTGTCTAATCAATGCGTCTGTGTCATCCGTGTGTGATCGTGCTCCAGATCGTGCTCCAGTGCGGTATCGCTCGGAGCTGGACTCGGACGGTCGGACGGAGTCTGTCTAATCAATACCACTGTGTCATCCGTGTGTGTTCGTGCTCCAGATCGTGCTCCAGTTCGGAGCTGGACTCGGACGGTCGGACGGAGTCTATCTAATCAATACCACTGTGTCATCCGTGTGTGTTCGTGCTCCAGATCGTGCTCCAGTTCGGAGCTGGACTCGGACGGTCGGACGGGGAGTCTATCTAATCAATTCCACTGTGTCATCCGTGTCTGTTGACTCAGGTCTGCAAGCAGCTTTCGGCGATGTTCCAAACGGAGGACACCACGGCGAAACCCAGCCGCGTAGACCTGCTGCGGAACGCCATGGGAATCAACCAGCACCACGACGCCGTTACAGGTGACGCTGCTGTTACCGATCCGGACAGGCTATCCTATACATGGCCAATGCCGGTGGCTATGCAAGCGTACGTTATTTGGTTGATTAATATATATATATATATATATATATGTATATATATGCATATATGTATATATGCAAAATACCTGTTAAATATATGAACATGGCCGTACGGAATAACTGTCATATCCTGCATTGGGCTGCTGCAAACCTGAGTTTTCGGTTGGAGTTGATTTCACTCTCAATGAAGACGTTTACCGAGCACAAGATGCGCTAAGTCGGTACCGGAACGAATCTGGACACGATTGTAGCCCTTATTGTCGCCCTTCCATCACAAGATACGCCATGCGTGAACCGCCCCTCGTGGGGCGTCAATCGAACGCACAGACATCCGGTCACTGTTCTCACGGACAGCTCACTCTCCTCCCGCGGTACATACCATCACCTCCTTGCGGGATGGCTTCACACGGACTTCCGCGCGCTCCGTCCATTTACCAGGCGCCCGGTCCCCCCGCCCCGGCGGAGTTCCAAGAGGAGCGGAAGGTCTGTCGAACCGCGACCGGAGCGTGCTCGAGAGGCGGCCATCGCTTGATTACACTGGTAATTTTTGACGGCAATCAGCAGATCGCTGCGGCACAGCTTTAGCAGTCCCCCTGAACGCTCGAAAGGATCACTCAGTGACAAAGAAGAACAACTTGTTGTGGCGCATTTCTCCATCACAAGTCAAGGTGTGTTAATGTCCGTCCTGAGACCAAAGCTCGTGGAAGTGGTGACAGCGAAAATGCGGATCCATTCAGACTGACCACTGCTGGATTCAGCTGGGTCACGCTCTCTTGACATGTCACCATTGCGTGGTGGGGGTGGTGGCGGTCTCTGCCTATCATTCATCATCATTCCTTCACCGTCGCTTCTTCCCGAGGAAACTGGGTTTGAACTTCGCTGCATGACGGGGTAGAGGAGGGCTTAACTTTTTCATGGTCATAATGTTGATGAAGGGCGGTCGTGATGATGTTGCAGGCACTGAGAAGCAACACGTCGCAGATGACTATGTCCAGCGATTGAGCGAGGCCACGGAGTCCTGCCAGGGGGTCGTCAACGACGCTCTGGTGTGAGTTACACCATTGCAATCGGACTCAGGAGAGTGCAGTTCTCAAGCATTCACACCATAGGTCATCTATCTATACACTTGGAAGGCAAAAACACCAGCGCCCATGCTTTGTTTTTAGGAACTCTATTATGTCTTGCCCACTTCATGCTATACGCTGCTGACAGGGACTATGAAAGGATCATCTTGCAAATGACGTGCAGTTAACGTTTCCAGTGAATGACCCACGCAATATATTTTGGATGGCGAGCGAAAACCCACTGTGCCATTGCATACCAGTTTTCAGACGTGTTTTTGTTTCTATTTACAGCCGCGCGGGCTGCCTGTTTGTTTTATTTACAGCCGGGCGGGCCTGGCCGCAGACGTTCTGCAATCAGCTGAACACGTCCACGTGTCACGTAACCGAGCGGAGCAGCAAGTTCGTGGCGTACGTGTACAACCCGCTGTCACGGAGCGTCAGCCCCTGGGTTCGAATCCCGGTGGCCGGACAGTCTGCCATCGTGGTGAACGAGCAAGGTCCGTGAGTCTGAGGCCGACAGGTGTAAACCATTTGGCACCAATGGCGGGGTGTTTCTCACTCGAAGGTGATGTAATACTTTCATGGGTTGAATGCCATGTTTATACTTTCTCAGCTTTGAATGCAAAATTTTCTATCAGCTTGTCACGTAGCATAAATTATTGCGCCACTTTATCTGGTTCACCGCTACATGTACTTAAGACAAATTTACTTTGGAACCATAGCTGACTGCACATGCCTGCCCTTGTCACATATACAATGAAAAATGGGTACATGTCATCACACAGATACCATATGAGCATCAGCTGCTACCAATGCGACCTCCCGCATGCGGACATCTAGAGAATGGAGCTCAGGGCCTGACCCGAGCCGCGTGTTTTGGCAGGCGCGACCATTGACAGCGAGCTCATCCCCATTCCGGCCGGGTCCAGGACCTCCCTGGCCGGGATTCGACAGCCAACGTTGAACTTGTGTTCCAGGCCTCACGCTACCGCCTCTCGGCTTCAAGTGAGTGTTGCGCGATCGGTTAGCTGTCCCCAGGCGTTTGTTCGAAATGCTGCAGATGACACGGGGTTGCTGATATTTACGTGCCGTTACCGGTCCATGGAAGACTTTTGTATGCATCAGATTACGAATGATATGGCTCATTTGTTGACGAGGGCTTGACGATACGCGGTTAATCCTGATAAGTGTGTTATTTTGGTGCTGTCACATCTGGGTCATCTCGATAACAAAACATGAACTGCTGAACAATTAAAACCAACACTAGCCGTCCTTCCTTAGGGCTTACTACGTTCGGGTGTTTTCGTATGGGACCGCCTCAGCACGCCTCAGAGCGTCCCGGTCTGCAAACGCTCTCAAATGGTCACGTGACACTCGACCTTGACCCCAAGACCCTCCGGCTCGGCAGAATGCGCGCTGGAAATGCTGATGTCAAGGTATGCTGGCTTTTAGAGGGAATATTCCACATTTGAAGATGCTGAAACAAGCATCAGATATCATAAAATAAGGTCACTCACAGCTACTGATGTACCTTTAAGTAGAAAAGATGTCTAGACCACACAATTTCTCTTTAGTTAATATGCTCTCCTTACGTCATGTTTGGTTACGTCACTGTACCTTGCATGACATTGCTTGACAGCCAATTAACGGCTGTTATATCTGGAAATCGTGCTCACGAACGCCAGATGTGAACGAGGAGACAATGATATTTTCTTGGCCTTGATCACCTCATAGATAATTGAGTGACAGGATTTCAATGTCATGATGACATAGACACCTGGGCGACCTTGAAATAATCTCACTGAAATCGTCTGCACATCTTCGGTGGCGTGTAGCCCAGAAACTAGAGGGGTTTAGGTCTTAAGAAGGGCAAGGCTGCGAACTGCACCGAATGAACTGAAGATGGCTATTTCAGTTCTACAAACGTAGAACACTCCCTTTAAGAGAAAGCAGGTGCATGCATGCGTTTAGTGATAACAGCTGCATTTATGAAATGTGGTTTAGGATATATCGCGGATTTGATATCATGCCATTACGGATGCTGACGTCTTTATCGGCACGACATTTTTCAACTTGATTTTAGGTCGAACATTGTCATGCCACAAAATTTAAACGAATGCTAATTCCTTTGGAGAAAATGCATGACGTATGTCTTCTTTGTCCACGTTTGATCAGCCAGCTCGAAGTATGTCCCAATAATTTGAGATGGTGGTTGTCAGTCGCATTTACTTAGCGAGGAATTGATTTCATTGCGATCCATGCCAAGACGTTCTTTTTAAATCTTAGTTAAAATGACAGATTTTGTTTGATGTTATCCGCGTATACACACTTACGGTGGAGCGCTTTCAGTTTGTTCACTCAAGACAAAGCATTTCTTTGACGACAGGTGGATCAGAACTTCATGTGGTACGAGGGGTATGGCAGCCCCAACAACACACCGTGGCAGCCGAAGCACAGACCCAGTGGGGCCTACGTCTTCCACCCGAAAGGAAGGGCTAAGCCAATGAAGGCAACGGTAAGCGAAGAGCTAAACGGGAATAACGAGCGAAATAAGCAACGTTGATTGGCAGTATGTAAAGCAGGCTACTCAGTTAGAAGCGAGGAAGCATGCCGGGAAATCGGGACTCGTTCGGGCGATCTCAGCCGCGTCGTTGTTATATTGCGTGTCGTACGTTTATCAACTGCATTAGCTGAGGACACATCGAAGTAATTATCAGCAACCTGGTGTGAACGAAGTCGCTTTCAAGTCCATGGCAACGCCAAAGCGCGTATTACAACACTTGGCCGCCCCATCGAAGTTTGTAGTTGTCATTCCCGATTTTGAAATAAAGGGAACCAAATACGCAGTGCCCTCACCTCTAAAGTTAGCGTTTGAACAGCTAACGCATCATCCGTTTGTTTTCAGTCAGTGGGACGCTGGACGGAGCTCTGGTGAAGGAAGTACCGACACACGTTCGACATGGACTGGGTCTCCCAGGTGACCCGGCTCTACAAGGACGAGCCCTTCGCTGAGGTCGAGTGGATGGTCGGGCCCATTCCCATCGAGTGAGTCGGCCGTGGGTGGCCAGCGGAGTGCCGTGCCGCGTGGGTGTCGTACTGGCGTGCTGATGTTATCGTTGCCTTTGTGCGTGCATTTACGTGCATTGCATATGCATCTACGTATTTTACGTGTACGTTCAAACGGCATGTGGAAGCTTCCCAGATTGAATTAGATTGCCCGTGAGCTGCACGTCCCATCCATGAATAAGCCGTAGGTAATCAAACGTACAGCAGAGCGTAAAATATCACCTCGGCTTTTAAGCAACGTCCACCACCACCTAGCACAGTGTTGTCCCCGTTTGTCATGACATTCTCGTCGCGCAGTGTCGTCCCCGTTTGTCCTGGACATTCTCGTCGAGCAGCTTCCACTCAGGAGCATGTTGAAGCGCACAGCCACTAGATTTTCTTCTCAAAACGTGTTGCTATTTGCTGATATTTCTATTCCTTTGTCAGGGACAGCGTCGCCAAGGAGGTGATCAGCCGCTTCAGCAGCGCCATCAACTCTACCGACAACTTCTACACAGACTCCAACGGACGCCAGATGATGAAGCGTAAGAGAAACCGGTGCTGTAGGCTGGTTACTAACAGTTATAACGCAATTTTAAGCATAGATCTCCAGTCTTGCCGGGGGCTCTGGGGCGATGTGGTACAGCATGACAGACTTATTATTGGTTTGGTCCCACACGTGTCTCCCGGTTAAGGCTGTTAAGCTGGTTTTACTTCTTAATGATTGAGTGAAAAGCTATAACATAATTATAGGTTATGGACAAACATGGGTTGGAAAGATTGACTGCATGTTGAGTCAGTTCTCGTCGTAACCACCTCCGTCTCCCCTAGTGGGGGCCCGTACAGCATCGTTTGTTTTTTCATTGACCCAGGTCGTCGTGACCACCGTGATGCGTGGACCCTGAACGTCACGGAGCCGGTGGGCCGGAAACTACTTCCCTGTTAACTCACGGATCTTCATCAAAGACGCCGACAGCCAGCTGACCGTACTTACCGATCGGTCGCAAGGTTGGCAGGCAAGTCTCGCCAGTGGCCAGCTGGAAACTGATGGTATGTGTCGGAATCTCGACGATCCTTGGACTTGTAGTGCACACTGTATGGTGCGATGCATGGTTTGTTTCGACTAGCGGATATGTGAGCCGAGCGCCGGGCTCCTGGTATTGGAGTGAGATGATAGACGTCGGTCGGACCGATGTTTGACGTTGTGATATTTCACTCTAACGTCCGTGGAACGAATACAATTTTATGATATTTCACTATACCCCACAGGTCCTGACGGGGTATTTTGTAAAATAAATTGATGAAATGTCCTTCACTTTGCATGGGCTTTGAAACCAACTCTATTGGATTCCTTCAATTGTATTGCTATAGACGCTGATGGCGTTATCAACGTGGTGTGGCCAATAAAGATGGTGAACAATATAAGTGGTATTACTCTTCATCTCTACCGCGAGCCGGGATGTACCGACCCTCGTCCATTCTCCCACATGTCATCGGCATCGCCCTTCCCCCATCTTCACCACATCGCCTGTTGCCTCAGCTGCACCGCCGCACGGTGCAGGACGAACGCGTTCGGCGTGGGCGAAGCCGCTGAACGAGACCGAGTTCGGCGTGGGTCTGGTGGTGCGCGGTCGTCACTGGGTGGGTGGTCAGCGACCCGGCCGGACGCCCCCAAGCTACATCGCGACCTCGCCGAACAGATGTTCATGGCGCCCCAGCTGAGCTTTGCTCCAGCGCCAATGATGACCATGATGCAGTGGCTCAGCAGTACCACTGTCAAACAGGTGCGACGGATGACCGGTCTTTCAACTTTGTTTTGTCATTTGCTAGTTGTCTGATCACTATCCCCACTGTTAAGAACCTCGTGACTTCCCCTACTCTCGTCATGTTTTCCAGATGCATGTTGAAAAGCATCTCGTGATTTCAGACCCCTTGCTGCTGAAAAGTGATAGAGGCTCAAGCTCTTTAGAGGAATTTGCGCGTAGTCAGTGTGGTCGTTTCACTGGTCAGTGTGCGCAGGTGGGCCAATGTCCCCTGTGGTGTCCCAGCTCTGTGTGCCGCAGTTCACAGGCATGGCAGCCTGGTGTCTCCAGTTCAGTTCCAGCTCTGTGTGCTACAGTTCACAGGCATGCGGCCGCTGCCTGCCAACGTGCACCTGCTGACGCTGGAGATGTACAAGCCGAACCAGCTGCTGATCCGACTGGAGCACCAATTCCAGGCCGACGAGGATCCCGTGCTCAGCAAACCTGTCGACGTTAACCTCAAGGTCAGCTGGCTGCATGCATGTCGTGATCCTTGTCATCATTTGTGACGTGCAAGGACAGGATAATTAGTTTGCATTAATGCACGTACACACAAAGTGACCTCTTGATGGATGTATTGCTGGGAGTTGTGGCTGCTTTCATTACAACTACCAACGCATGCAACTATGATGTCAGCATCCGCACACTTAAAGGGAATGTCCCACGTTTAAATATCTTGGAGCAGACATCGAGCAGACAGACAGAGCAGATGATGAAATAAGCTATTGGTACTGCTTTTAGTGGAAAAGGTTGCTCTAGACAACCAAATTGCTCTATTTACTTAGTATTCCCAATGCGTCATTGCTTGATTACGTATTAGACCGTTTGTATGACGTTGAGGTGCTGCCAGACTGGCTGTGCGAATTCGCCACCCAAGCACTCACTTGCAGTACTTGGATTTCCCGAAAGGTGGCTGTGGCGGTGCGGGAGGTATTTCCTGAACCAAATATGGCTATATGCTCGTGCTTTTGCCCTCTCTCGTAGGGTTCTTGCATGTTTATCTGTGAGTGTAAGGTGCTTACTTGTATTCGCAGACTTCGTTATGGGCTTTTCTTATGTCATTTGATTACAAGTACTCTTTCCGTTATACCTTATACCCACCTCCAGCTCCTTGTATAAGGTACCACAAAACTGTTCACCAAAGAAAATCACGCGATTCGTGGCTGAAACTCACGCAGCCTGCACAGCATTGGTTCGGAGCCAAATGACGGCCGTTATTGTGGAAATCGTGTCCATGAACGCCAGTTATTAACGACTCGACGGAGATATTCTTGTTGACATTGAACGCCGAATGGCCACTGAAATGGCGGCATTTGAATGACGTTTGTATGGCGATATACATGCCGGAATGATCTTGAAATAGTTTCCACGAAGTAGACTGCGTATCTTCGCGGGTGTGTAGCTTAGAAAATAGAGGTTTTAGGTCTTAAGAGGGACAGGGCTCTGATCTGCACCAAATGGTCTTCAGGATGGCTATTTCGGTTTAAAACCCTAGGTGGTGTAAAACCCAAAACACTTGTCGAACACTCCCTTTAACTGCAGGCTGGCGCCATTGCAAAGTCCGAAAGGTGTGAATAAGAAAGCTGTCATGACCTTGAGGCTAATGCATTTAATTTACCGGGCACTTTCGCTCCCACTGCAGCAAGCCCACGTGTTCCGTTCAGATATATTGTGGCCTGTGGCAGGATCTGTTCACCACCCTGAACGTGACGTCAGTGGAGGAGTTCGGCCTGTCGGCTGACAGGCCTCTGAAGGACATCAACCGCTTCCACTGGGATCACATGCGGTCCAACCGGCTGCCCACGAGCTTCCGAAGCCCTGCATCTTGGGCGTACCGCGGCAAAAACGGCGAAAACGACCTGCTCACGGTACGTTCAGAACGACTTGCTGACGTTGCGCGCAAACTGACCCGCCTAAAGTACGTCAAGAATGGCCTGCTGACGTTAGTGACTGGTGAACCTCTTTTGGTGAGCCAATGGCGGATAATGGGCTGGTCGGGCCGAAAGCCTCAGCTTGTTTTGCTCTCCAGACTCCTGATAAAGGCTCAACGTGTCACTTCAGATCATGCGTGGTAAACGATATGTCAAAAAATAAACACACTGAACACGTTTCATTTCAGATAAGCAGTCTTCTACATATTTTGTTTACGTGCATTTTTATCTCTCCGGGCAAATGACATTCTTGACGCCATCGTTGTTTGCAGGGTGACGCTGAACCCAATGGAGATCCGCACGTTTGTGGCATCGTACCAGAGCCCGTGAACCCCGGTGAACCCCCTTGAGCCTGCGCTGATCCATTGAACCAGGCTTCTGAGTGACCCTGAGAACAAGTCACCGCCTGATAAAAGGTTCTGAGCCGCCGTGGACCTGATGTTTGTGTTTGAATTGTCGCCTTTTGCAAGTCATAATACAATTACAATTATAAACACACCGTTTAAAGCAATGTTCTGTGTTTCTGCAAGGCCGGGGACCTGCTGGTTGTGTTTGAACTGTCGCATTTTGCAAGTTATAAGGGGATAACCGTAACCGTAACCGTTTAAAGCGATGTTCTGTGTTTCTGAAAGGCCGGGGACCTGCAGTTTGTGTTTTGTTGGGCTGCGGATGCACCTTGTAATAAGCATAGCCTTGTATATATATATATATATATATATATATATATATATATATATATATATATATAAACGTATACACGCTTTACGCACTGTTTCTGACAATGAAATCATGTGCCCTCTCGGAAAGTTTTCAAGAAAGCAGCCTCCAAATAAAGATTGTGGCAACATTTTTGCATTTGTGCGTTTTGTATTAAGTACGTGGCGTCCATGTACCCACGTGTTTTGCTCTATCGCCTTATCGCTGTAATTCCTCCCCTCAGATGCTGCTCTGCAAGATATAGATAACAATATCTGTATTTTGCCACTCGCGATGGTGGTTTAAGTAGACACATGTTTCGCTTTGCTGTCATTTTTGCCGTGGGACCATATGTTTTGAAAATTAGTGTACCTCTTGTGGTGTCAATAAATTCTGAAGGAAGCAGTCAAGTGCGCAAACATGGTATATAATGCAAGTGCCTCAGCTTAAAACCAATTTGCGTCAGTTTACTTCAATACATTTGTCTCAACTAAGCGTCTGGATGAGAGCAAGTGCTGACGCGACTTGGCAACATGGCGGGCGAATGCAGTTAATTCACTGTGGCACGAGCTGCACATAGGGACCGTCAAAACCATACGCACTTCAGTGCCTCATCTTATTCATTTTTCTCAATGATTAGTGACAAATTTGTGCGTGATTATCTTGTTGCATCGACGTTTCTCCTCATATTTCTGGCAAAGAGAAGCATTCCAGGTTTGGTCATGGATGCCACTACGACACTTTCTCCGTCTCACTGATGAAGAGCTTTAAGATGTTCAGAGAACAAAATCAAAGGACGCGTTATTATGCCTCATTCAGCTGATGGCACTTTTGGCAAGAAGCTCAGTTCAATAGCGCTTCGGTCGTTGTGTGTGCGTTATGTTCTTGTCTGTATACTATTGAGATTCTCCAAAGATGTATCCTATTTGCGCTCCAGGCAGCAACTTACTTTTTCCCGTGATAACCCGAACACCCACCTGAACCAACTGGAATCAGACTCGAGTTGCCATCCTTGCATTCACTGAAAACGTGCTTTAAGGGGTAGAGTTTGAAGCTCCTCTCGAATTGATCACAGAAACGTCAGCAGGACGTCTTATCTGGTTTTCTTTCGGGTCAGCGGCGGTCACTGAGCTGAAATGGCTTATGTCACCCGATTTTTTCCGACAGGTGTGGCACCGCCGCTTCAAACCTGCGTGACCTAAAAGGACATCAAACAAAATTTGACTTAGAACAGGTGCCTAGGGTTATTGTGGTTGCATGAGGAGGTTTGGAGCACTTCGGAGGTCAATCTGGAGTTTCACTTTATTTGCCCCAAAGTTCAAGGGGTATTTTGACCAAGTCTATCTCAAACTTTGGCGTAATTTGGTTCATACATAGGCCTTCCTACGCTGTGAACTTATCATTTCTTGATCTCTCGTTTTGTTCTATCTCAGGAATCATGATGACCCCCTTCCCTACCGAGCGCGTCACAATCAACCGGCCGCCCGTGCGCGTGTTAAATTGTCGCCGATCTGAGGCGCGCGTAAATGACCATGGAATGAATGTATGCCATGTTTTGCAAGACATCTTAATTTAATGTGGGCTAACTCTCCCTCAGCATTACAAAGAAGCAAAGACCAACCTAAAAAATTAGTTTTGCTGAAATGCGTGAGATTACGCACCACTAAATAGCATTTTTTTCTGCGCACGGTGATGCACTTCTTCTTTGCATTTTGAAAGATCCTTATCAACCCTAATCTGTGAATTTCCTAGAAGTCATTGAAAACGCAGTTAAACATTTCAACATATAATGACCACAGGATTCCACATGCAACTCAAACTTTCCCGTATTTTTGCCGCAAAAAAATGTATGTCAGTGTAATTGTAAAGCTATGCAGGTACAACAGCAACGTTATTAGTAATGGTTGCATCTTCTATCCGAGTTGAAATGTTCATGGCTGGTTTTTAAGTCACAGGTGATGCCGAACCCTGCTTTTATTAAGCTGAGGTCAACTGAAATTATGCTGATCACATTCGTGATGTGACGAAACGAGTTGCGGAGGGCTCACCTTCCAGAACAAGGATTGGTATATGTCTAGCCGAAGAGGGCCATTCGGCTGCTTCCTTGGCAGCGTCAGCCTGTCACAGGGCGCCGAGAGTAGTGCAAGTGCATAGCAAACGTCCTTTCGTCCTTCCCGTCGTCTTTTCGTGCTGCTCCGACAAGAGTCCGATTCAGAATGGGTCTGTTAAATCTGTATTACAATCATGCTTGGCATGAAAGTCTCCATGAGACCAGTGAACTAGTGGCGTCAGTATCATGTGGAGGTTGCGGGAATAAATGTGAGGGGTTATGTTTGGTGGCAAACAAAAACGTCCTACACAAAATGGTTCACCCCGTCATCCAAAGTTACCCATGATTTGAGGAAGTTATTTTAAGATTAAAGGGATTAAGTTGCCCTGCTGCTTCCTCCATGTCGACACCATCACGCAAAGAGATCAAAGGAAATAGTTGGTGTGTGATAGTCATCTTTTACCTACACATTTTATAGCATTCCAGCCAAGAACACGGGGGGTAAGCCAACATTGGGGGGTCTAGCTCAACATTGAGGAGCCAGCGCCCTCACAAAAGGAAACAGCTTGGCACCCGTTATACCAACAGTTATAAGTGAGCTTGTTTCATCATATCTGATGCCTTCTTCAACGCCTTTAAATGCAAAGCCTCTTAGATATCAGGTTTCAGAAGAAAGTGCGTTGCCCAGCGAGGAGACTGAACGACATCACCAGCCAGTCGCGGGTTACCCCCCCCCCCCAAACAAGGAAAAACAGCTGCCGGTTACATCGCCTGAAATACGATCTCGGCGACCGGAAGTCCGTTGTTGTGCGCTTGCAGTACAAGTCTATAGTCGGATTTTTCCGGCGTTTGCCGCCCTCGGCCCACTTTGCACGTAGAGTTGTCATTGCAAACAGTTGTCGATTTGCAGACCATGCAGGGCCTCTCGCGGTATTCCAGCATGTATTCTTGACCCGTTGCCCAGTCCATTTCCAGTTCATACGGGCTGCATACCTACGGTGACTGCTGCCGCTACATGACGTCATAGAGCGCGATATTTTTAGCTGCGGACGGCGTGGGCCGGATGAATATGCTGGCTTATCAAATGCTGATGTGAAAATACAAGTAAAAATATTCAGTGAAAAAGCTCAAGGATCATCCTAGAAACATTGCAGCGACCACTGGCATTGAAGAGCGTCGCGCTGTGAGAGGTTTATCTGCCTTGTAAAAGTCACTTGAGCGTGACCAGTTGTAGAATTATCAGCACAGCTGTCTGCATAATCGCAGCTGGGCCTCGTTCCAGCTGCGTGTGCGCCCATCCCTAACCCGGAGCATAACACTAAAAAATCAACCCACCGGCCGGGTCGATCCCGTGGCCTTGGTGCAACAGCTTCAGCTTTCACTTCTGTCTAAAAGCTGCAAGCATCGTATGAGGCCTCAGTTGGTTTGGTGACAGAGATGTATCGTTGGATACTTTAGGGAGGGGGTGGGCTGCCATGATTGATCATTATCGCTATCACATTGGCTTTAAATAATAAGTCATTTCTTGGCATCCCTGGCATGCGTTACCATGCCTGTCATGTGACACTTTTCATGTCTTTGAAATGTCATGCTTTGGAACGAGTCTGCAAAATAATGGCATCCAAGGTACGGAACTAGAGGAGTTTGACCTAGAGCTGGACCCTGATCTTTGGCCTGGAAAAAGTCGGGAAACCGGGCAAGTGCTATGCTTGAACCTTTTTGTTATGAACCATCTCATGAGAACAGCAGCCCCATCGAACAATTTCGGAGTTGAGGGGCCCAGCTCGAACTGAGCATGGCGCCTTGAGAGCGTGGTATTTTCGAAGGCAGCGATTGCAGCTGCATGCGCTTGGAACAATGAAAGGAGCAGCTCTTTAAGAACGGTGATATGAACATTCTGAGGCATTTGCTTAAAAGCTGCCTGACCAGCCGTGATATTCTTGAATACCTGTATTAAAATTTGGACAAACTATGGTCTTTCACGCTTGATAGGGGTGACAATCGTCAACTATCTTCCAATCGCAAACGCAAGTAAGGAACACAGGTCTCGGTCTGGACAATGGGATTTAGATCTGGTTAGATCCAGTTTCATCCGGTAGGCAGCCCAGCATTGCAGTGACACTAGACCAGCTGACTGAGATCGAGGAAATAAGAGATAATCATATCAGTAAGGTGTCGGCTGATCCGCGCGTCAGGACGTCATCACCATCGGGATGTCGGCTGATCCGCGCGTCAGGACACCATCGCCGTTAGGGTATCGGCTGATCTGCGTGTCAGGACACCATCACCATCGGGGTGTCGGCTGATTCGCGCTTCAGGACGCCATCACCATCAGGGTGTCAGCTGATCTGCGTGTCAGGACACCCATCACCATCAGGGTGTCGGCTGATCCGCGCGCCAGGACACCATCACCATCAGGGTGTCAGCTGATCTGCGTGTCAGGACACCATCGCCATCAGGGTGTCGGCTGATCCGCGCGCCAGGACACCATCACCATCAGGGTGTCAGCTGATCTGCGTGTCAGGACACCATCACCATCAGGGTGTCTACGGACTGGTATGCTATTTCGATAGCCAGAGCACTCACTTTCTCTACAGAAACTGA